AATGCTACGGATTTTAAAATATATAACTGTTAATTATTATGAGTCGGGCAGAGGACTTGTAACATTTGCATATTTTTTTTGCACAGTCACAATAATAGTAAAGTACAAAACAAATACGTTTTATGCTTCCATAAAGCTAGTTTTAAAAACTATTAAAAATGCATATTTTGCATTTTTTTGGTTTTTTAGGGCATATTTCTTTCATTTTATACTTTTAGATGCATATTTTAAATAATTTATCATTTTATCAATAGTCTTAGTCGACGTTTTTATTTATTTATTTTTACAACCAAAATAACGTTGAATTTAAAATTATTTAAAATTTTGATCCGTACATGATCTTTCACTTTTTCCGGAACTTATAAATACAAGGTGGGGATCGTGGGTAAAAGCCGCATGTCAGTATTGTTAACAATAATAAATATAAACCACCATAAAAATAATTGAAGACGTTTTTTAAAATTAAATCAAGCCCCCGGTACAGTGGGTAAATTATTTAAGATAACATGAATATTTTAGTGAAAAATAAAAGTTAACAAATATTGGCTCAAATGTAAAGAATTTTATCTGGTAAGAAACTTCAATTATAGTCAGAATACCGGAAATCTTGAGCCTTGGTGATTTAGAATATTTTGAATATGGTTAGGTTATAAATGCCGTTGATGTTGAACTTTCTTTTTCAATGTTCAAAGTGCTGTTAGCTGACAATAAAAAAAATTTTCAATTTGAAAATTTGAAAAAACATCTCATTGTTCAATGTAACTTCCAATGTAAAAATGTGTGTTAATCTTAAATATTTGAAACAACAATATTTTGTCAATTATTTTATAGTAGTTGAAGAAGTAGAAAGTTGAAAGTTTTGAAGAGGTATCCAGATGAGAAAACCCATCAAATAAACCCAAATAATTAATTGTAACTTGTAAGTTGTTAAATAAAGTTGTAAATATAGTTTATTCATTAAAATAATAGAGAAGTACATACAGATAATTTTTTATTTTTCGTTCAAAAATATTCATTTTTAAATGCATATTTATAATGCATATATTTTAAATTTGAGTGCATATTTGGTGATTTTTTAGAGCTACAAGTCCTCTGCCCTAATTGTGAGCATATCTATAAATACTATCTACACATTCATTTATACAATATAAGTAGGTACCTACATCATAATATAACGGGTGATACTTTTATCAATTAACACTTATTATTTCAGAAATATTAAATAAATAATAATATTATTTTATATTAATAAATAATTCAACTGATCCGGTACACGGGTGCTTTGAATTTAACGTCAATATGCCATGTAATATTTTGCGAACATCAAATAATGAATAAGTAAGTAAATAATTGTTTATTCTTAATAATTAAGAAGTAATTACTAAGTAATTATTACTCTTGTATAACTTTAATGGATAGTCTTGTTATTTTTCAATTAATGCTACTTTGGTAGAGTTTATCCTTCTTTTAAGAATAATAGACACATTAAATTAAATACAGGGTGACTTTAACCGTTAATTTTTGGTTCGGTTCCATAATTTGTTTTTGAACTTTATTTGCGATAAACGTTAAATCAAGCTATGTTCAACAAACGGTTAAAGATTTAACGTTATAAATTAAATGGTTCACCGAACATTTTACTAGAAAACGTTAAAATTGTTTATGTTTTTTTGAAAATTTCACCTAAAAACTGTAAAAAATTTAAAGTTCTTGAATGATGAACCTAATAAACGTTGTTAAATTATTCATTCTTGTATATTTAATCAAAAGAACGTTTTGAAATAATACGTTCTCGAACATTTAATGAGAAGAACGTTTTGAAATAATACGTTCTTGAACATTTAATCAGAAGAACGTTGTACAGTAATATGTTCTCAAACGCTTTAAAGTTGTACTTTCTTCAGTATTTAATCAGAAGAACGTTTAAGAGTAATATGTTCCGATTTGTTGAATTTTTATATGTTAACGTCTGTGAGACGGAGAGTGGAGACGCCTATAATTTCATATTACTTAAGCTTTATACCATTTAAGTACTTTAGTAGGTACCCTTTAATTACGATTTACGATTTACATTGTTTATCCTCTTCAATGTTTTGTAAAAACTAAATATTGTTAAAAATGTTTTAGATTTTTAAATATATTATATATATTTTTTTTATTTGAGTTAAGGCTTTGATAACTGTGTTCATTAGCCAGTTACTGTAGTGGAAAGTTAAGTTGTTTGAACACGTGTACGCGTGGCTAGGATTTGACACTAAAATGTGATGTTCTATGTATTAAAAGTTTGAAGAACATATTAGCTTATTGCGTTCTTCGTGTAATTGTTCAAAGAACTTAATAAGTTATATCGTTTTTCTAGTAATTGTTCAAAGAACTTTATAGGTTATAACGTTTTTCTAGTAATTGTTCAAAGAACTTAATAGGTTATGATGCTCCTCATGTCAATTATTTAAAAAACTTTAAAAATCATAACGTTTTTTTTGAAAAAGTTCAGTAAACTTAATAGTTTATAATGTTATTTCATATGAAGGACCAATGAGCTAAATTAAATATTTGGTTTCGTTCCATTATATTTTGGTTCATGAACAACAATAATGTTCTTTAACCGTTTTTTTGCGTTCCGTTCGGAAACCCTGAAAATAACCCTAAAATATAACTCTATTTGGGGTAAGAAGGGAAAAATACAACGGGGCAAGATAAACCATGTCCATACTCCATATACTAACATAAAATGTTTGTTCGAAATGTATTTTAGTTGATAAAAATTGTACAAAAATAAAATAATATTTTGGAGATTATTATCATTATCATTTGGAGAGTATTACATAGTATTTTTTACTATAAATAAACTAGTTGAAATAACAGACTTATTTTGCTTTTGTGGTGATGCTATAAAATTAATATGATGTGGTCATTTAAACTTGTGAAAACTAGAATTTTTGACTTTAACAAGATTTTCACAAGTAGGGTGTTTAGTTCTCAAGTTACAGAGATTTGGCAAATTGAGAGAATACCAAATTAGGCATATTCACTTTTTAGAACAATTTTGTTTATCAATGAAAGATAGGTACAATGATGAAGAATGAGGATTAAGATAAAAATTTGGTTTCAGAACTTCTAACTTATGGTAGGGATTTCAAGAAATTACCTTGTTAGCCACTTACTGTCTTATACCCCCATTCATTTTTGCTGTACAAAACTTTTTGAATACCTTGTAATGGATGATTAATTGTTTTATTTTCTTATTCAGTTTTTAATGTTAAGTATTAGAACAAATTAATAAAATATGTAAAAAAGAACAAATTGTATTACGCATAAATTTTTTTTATTTTGTGTATTACTTATTACTGGTAAATATAATATGTATTATTGTATTTTGTATATTCGATCAATAGTCTTATCATCAATAGTATATAATAGTTATCTTATAAATAAATAATTTAGTGTACATTTTTAATTAACTTTAAGCAAATCATATACTTTACTTCTTAATGAGACAACCAATTAGGTACTTCTATGCAAAACTATAGATAACAAATTAAAAATATAGAATTATAGGTAGTAATTTTAAACAATATCACTACACACCTATATTATTTTATAGTTTTAAATGTATAACACATAAGTAAAATTATTAAAATTCACCACATAATATTATTAACACAATAATAATATGTAACATATAAAAAAGGAATGACAATAATACAATGATAAAAATAAAATGCTTCCTAATAATTATAGGTAACATATATTCAATTAGTCTATGAAAATTAATGTGCAAGTGTTTGAAACATTATATTATAATGGTTAGGTACTTTGCACATATTGTTTTCTTATAGATAAATGTTATACAGACTTTTGATTACAAGGTATTTGTATAAATATTATAACAATCTAAAGAGTTGAACTTATTAAACCAAATTATAATAATTTGTTTTAATTAACAAAAACTTAATTTCGATCATGTTATTTTCATAAAAATGTTTTATAATACATGGGTAACAAAATTATGAAATAGATTGTTTTGATTAAGTTATACAGCTGAAGTTTTTAACAATAGTCGTATTGCAGAGTAATTATTCATTTTTCTATTATTTTCTTTAATAACATGGAGTTCTGCAATTATTTAAAGATTATAGTAGAAGAGCAGAAAATTATTGCATATTGTTTCATATTAATATTTGCAGTCCTTATTTTTTTAACTAAAATAATTATTATTAATAATAAACAAATATTCAAACTAATTATCTAAAGTTAAAACGATCAGAAAACTTGGAAATATAACTTTAAATTAAAATGTAAATCATTAAAAATTTTAAATTTAAATTTTAACATACTGAGCTATGTTAAACAAGAAATGAACACACAATAAGTTGTTTTTTAACAGTAAATTGATATTTATAACTGCTGTTATAATATACAATATAATATTTTATGTTAGGTATATTAAATATTAATATTATATATTATAAAAAACTAAAAATAAATAAATATTTTAATTAATAATTGGGAAAAATGTATGCTCAATTATGTAAAGATTTTAAAGAATAGTCAATGTAAGACACTAAGACGCCCAAGTAAATTATTTGAAGACGTGAGTTTGTTATCAATTATCATTTATCATACTCCATACAGTTATCCTGGTATCAATTTTACAGGCATGGTTAGGTTTATAATAATGCAATACACAAATAAACATTTAAAAAATATAGTTTGATGTATTTAAAATCATAAAAAAAAAAATTAATATTTTAAAATAATTAGTCTTCTATATTTAAAAAAATCATATTGTTTATACTGATCATTTACATATGGGACATACATGTACAAACAATATGCACATGTAATGTTTAAGTATGAATTTAATATAATTTGGTTTATGAATATATTTGTTATACATCAGTATAAGTTATGATTTATTTATTTAAAGATAACATATTGTTCAAAGATTAATTTCTTACATAATATATAAAAGTTTACTTAAAAGTTAAGGTTAATATTTAGTCTTCGGTATAGGTGTCATTATTGTGTAAAAGATTTTGTTTTTCCGGAGAAGGAGTTCTATAACAAAAAATAAAGGTTTATTAAAAACTCAAATATAAATAAACCATTTCTGGTAGAAAATAAAAAGGGTTCTTTACTTGTTTGATTCAAGTTGATTTCTTTGTTTAATACTCATATTTAATATTCCATTACTCATTGAATCCCATGTCCACAAAATAGCCGTCAGCAACAAAGCAGCTAAAATTATATAGGTTAATTAGAAATAGAAAAAATTAAAAAATAACTGTTTTATTTCAATTAGGTAGAACAAATATTTAAAACGGTAATAAGGGAATCATCACATTATTATTTGAATTAATTGAATTCATAATAAAATAAGTTTAATGGATAAATTAAATAATTAAAATGTAAGGGAAAAAACATATTATTAATTGAAGCCCATATTATTAACTTGAAATATATAAATATAAATTATTTAAATTAATCTGTTATACTTCTATTTAAAAATAATAGAATGTACATTTTTTATATGTATAGACATTTAAAATGAATAATAAAAATATGTTTTAAAATGAATTAAGTTATCTTCAATTTTTTTAATTAACCACTGGGTACTTATAAAATATATCTATAATTTACTACCTCAAATGTATTAGTAAACATTTAAAACAAAAACAATACACATAATTATTTATTGCGTAGTTATGTTAAACTAAACTATACAAATAAATACATAATTAGTAAAGATATATTTTACAGTGTTATTTTCTATGACTAATAAAAATAATATTTACCAGATAATAAAAGACAGAAAAATAATTCCACCATATAGTAACCATCTGAATCTACTATTATACCGCTTAACAAAGCAACAACAGCAAGACCAAGATTTTCAACGGATTGTGCTCTATAAATCATAAAAAGAAAATGAGAAAATCAATACAATGTCACATTTGTCACTTATCATTGACTAAAACAGAATTATTTTTGTTTTTAAATAAAAACAGAATTAATTTTTCCTCAATAATATAATCAATGATTTATCAAGATTGAAATTGAAAAAAAAATGTTTGTATTCTTTACTATATTATTATTTTATACCAGCGGTTCCCAACCCAAGGCCGAAACCCAAATTAGGGTCACAACTCACAGAGGTTTTTATAATGGATCGCGATTTCAGCATGATTTTTGTAAAAAAAAAATGATATTCTAAATTAATTGAATAGCAAAAAACACCGTGGAAGAAAATTGTCATGAAAATTATAAATAATCGTTGTAGGTACTCGTAATTTCTATTTTATAATATTTCATACTATATTTAAGTGTTAAAAAAAATGCGAATTTTATGTTTTTTAATTACTGTGATTATTTTAAGGGATGATAAAAATTGAATTAAAAATATTAGTCGTCCTCATATTAAGTTTGGAACCATTGCTTTAAACAATATATTAGATTTATAATTTGCTCTGGGTTTAAAATTAAATTAACATCTGAATAAAAAATCCTTAAATGAATAACAAAAAAATTGAATTTATATCCAAGTGGTGTTAACAATTTACAATGATTTGGTTAAATATTTAATAGAAACATATACTTTTATTTTTTTTATTTTACGACTCCCACTTTTATTTCTTTAATAAATAGACAAGATAAAGATAATAAACTAGCATAAGTACAACAATATAATCCACAAAACACTTGCATGCCATATGCTGTTCCCATTTGATGTTCAGGAATAACCATTGCAATCAGAGGCCATAATGCACTTGCCAACATTGAGTAAGACAATCCCATTGTGAACTATAAGAAATTTTAAATATAAATATCTTAATACATATACACTATTCAGGTTAAGAAACTTAGTCGGTGGCAACTGGCAATACTACACTGCTGATAATTATATACAGATAATTTACTGGGTGGGGATGACAAACGAAAAAACTGGTTGCTGGCAACTACATTTCTTAACTTGAACAGAATATATTTTATATTTCAAATGTGAGTTAAATTATCTTACCATGGCAATATAGGGGTTTACAAATGTAAATGCCAAGAACATATGTGAAACTAAGGTACCAAGAATTGATAAGAATACCCAAAATAGGTTTCTTCCAGTTTTATCAATGACTAAACCAAGTCCTGGTGCACATATAGATGATATGATGTAAATAATGCCATTGATCAAATTGGCTGAATCGGGTGAGAAGTTATACTTTTTTTCAAAGAATACTCTGAAAAATAAACATTCACAATAATAAATGTAATCAAAATAATTATTAGATAATTTAATGTGTTACTTAAAAATAACAAGATTTCTTTAGTTGAACAAAATTAAATTAAAACCCAAAGTTAAATCATTTTATGAAGTAATTTATTCAAAAGTACACAGCAAGGGAATTTCATTAATATTGATTCAGAAATAATTTTTAAAATGTAGTAATTTAAACTACAATTGGTAGTGAATATAATTATTTAAAAGTCCATTAAAAAATATGCACAATTATTTAAAATTAAAAAATAATATATTGAAATAAATTACTCAATATCAATGATTTCACTTATGTTAAGTAGTATTTTATAAATCATAATATTATTGCTAATAAATATAATAATACAATCATCTTACTTTCCTAATGCAACAAATGGAAAAATTGATGTATAGTAGAAAACAATAATGAATGTAACTAGCCAAAAGACTTTTGGAAAGTATCGTACATCAGACATTTTTACGACTTCAGTTGCATCAGGTGTTTTTCGATGTAGTAGTTTTTCGGCTCTTTTATCTTGCCAAGCAAGTAATAAGGCACTTACCAATGATAAGACACAGGTTAAACTTGCTAATGAAAATAATATAAATTAATAGGTTTCTGTAAAATTATGATTTGTATTAAATACATACCAACTAACAAAGCAATTGATAAACTTTGATAGTTAGGGACATTTATTTGATTTTTTATATATCGATATAATGGTTCCATAACTATGAAATTCACTGTTGAACCAACTCTGGCAAAACTTATTTGAAATCCAAACACCATATTAAGTTCTTTTCCTTTAAACCACAATACTGCATAGTTATTTTGAGCAACAGCCAATGACTCTCCACCAATTCTGTGTTAAAAAACATATTTTTAATTTTTATAATTTTCTTGTAGGTACCTGTTTATTTTAATTTCAAATTAAAATATCAATGCACAACATGCATGATATAATACTTATAGGAGACGGTAACAGTAATTAAATAGTTTAATCATAACACTGACCAAGTTGTAGTGCATTTAATTACAATATACATTATACCAATTGGCAACATTCAGAATATACAAAGTGAGCGCAGTAAACACGTTAGTTATAAAAAAAATACAAAAAGTTAATGTAAATGTTATTCAAAATTGAGCATGACAATTTTTAGTTTATTGCAAAAATAATAGATTTGGTAAATTTATGGTCAATAAAATTATTAAACCATATCTAAAAATAAACATAAAAATATAAATTATTTATTTTAACTTTGTTTCATAGCATGTTTAAATATAATATACACTAATTTAATTTATAAAAAAGAAAGCTTAAATCAAATTATAATGTAATTTGTATACCTAACACTAAATTTAACTTCTTATTAGATGTATTTCTAAAATAGGTACACATAATAATATAGTTTATGTATGTTTAGTATAAAGGTATTTAATGTATTCAATTAGTTTAATGTTAAAAAGACAAAGGTTATTTAAATTATATTATCCAACCATCATAATATAATAATAATAATGATGATGGAGTGACCAAGCAGACTAAGGCGTCGGTTACAACGCCCACAGACGCCGGTTCAAAACTTCAGCCGCAGGCGGCATTTTCTTTGGGCAAGTCACGGTGTCTGGAGAACAAGTTCCGCCATCCCCCACCCATGCATGGCAGATATCTACAGGAGCCAACTCAAAAATCTGCCAAACTATCAAACACACGTGTTTACCTAAAGCACCCTCCCCCACAGTAAAAAATCCACCCAAAGGCCTAAGTTGCTGCAAGTTAATTAAAAAAAAAAGATTTATATAATATTAAATTATAATTACCCAAATATCAGACGGCCAAGTATCATAATCCAAAGGGCGTTCAAATATGCTCCAGCAGCAAATACTATTTGACCAAGAACAACCAATAATGCGTAGATGACCGTACCTAAACGTATCCCAAAAACACTAAAACCATTTTTTTTTAAGATTAATTAATTATTTTTAAATTAATTTATCAATTTATAAATGAATGATACAAAATGATAAATTAATACAACAAATTTTTATCAAAATAAACAATGTTTATAACTTTAAAATAGGGTATTGATATTAAAATATAATATGTAGATAATCTTATAAGTAATCAATTTTAATTTAACCTTAATATTTTCACTACAGAAGTTTTATTATAAAAAAATATAAAATTAAAATTTTATTATAAAAACATGAATAAAATAATAACACAAATTTTTTGTTAATTAAATTTATATATATCACATATTTGAATGTAAAGTATTATTAACAAAATTTATGTTCTGTACATTAGGGTGTTCCTTAATTTTCAATTCCAAAATATTTTTGGTCTCACCCCCTAAATCGGTGTGTATACATATAAAAGTGAACTGCAAAAAATTTCAGGTCAATTAAATAAAGTTAACCCGTGCCGACTTGAAGTTAAAGTTTGAGCTTAATACATTTTTAAATAATATTAGACAATTTTTGTATTTTCGTAAATATTTCGTAAACCATTATGAAAATCGTAATTTTTTATAATATGTTTTTTCAAGTAAATTAAATTTCCAATATATTTTATAATATAACATTTTTAAATAAATCTATTAATTTATAAGATGCATAAGTTTTAATCTTAAAAAACAGAATTTCTCCACAAATTTATAATTTACATTTTATTATTTTATTGTAGGATTAATAATAATAATCTTAACTTATAATATTTGGTAAAATTATAAAATGTTCAATGTTCATAGTAATATTATGTACTTCTTATACACTTATTTGTGTAATTATTGGTTCTTCATATTTTCGTATTATACTCGTATAAATAATAAACAATAAGATTGTGAAAACGATTAAGATGTGTTGAAACACGTATTGTTTATCTATAACTTATTGCATTAATAGTTTCCGTAGGTATTAGTCTTGCTTTATAATTTATAAAAGATATTATTTTGTTAGTGATACTCATTTATTTCAGTTGTGTCAACGTCTTATGTGTTAAAGGTTATTATTGTGTTTGTCGTTAGTAATTCATAATAATTTAAATTAAAATAGCAAAAATGTCAATAAAACTGAGAAGTGATTTTAAATATTTTTAATTGGATCTCAAATCACACAAATTCATGGCTGAAAACTTCCATCCAACGGGCAAGTACTTTCTGTATTTTTCTACAATATGAGAACCGTTAATCTTACTACTAGGGAAAGTGCGGCGTTAGCTGTACGAGAGTGTTGCATTATTTGGGAAAAAGCCCGGATTCCTATTCGAGCTATTCATCATTGCATAACTAAATTAATTAACTTGTACGAGGAATGGCGTAATCTACAGAAAAATGCACAAAAAGTTGGTGAATCTTATCGGTTAAAAGAAAATGATTTAAAAAAAAAAATAGATTTGTTATTTGATATTGCTCATTCTGATGCGTTAAAATTAATTAAAATAGAAGTTGATAAACAGTTTCTAATAAACCAGCGTTTACCAGGGCGTCCTGGTTGTCTCGGAGGTATAGATATTAAAGGAGAAATAAAAGAAAATATTCACATTCAACGATAGTTGAATGAATCAAAAAGAAAAGAAATGTATAATACAAGTTGTGCTTCAACTTCGACATTACTCGATAACTCATTTGAGCAAAATTTGGAAACTGATAGTCTAGAAAGTAGCGATATATTGGAATTAGAGACCAGCATTAATTCTTTAGAGCTAATAGAACCACCAACTAAAAAAAAGGAATGCCGTGGAAAAATAAATTTTATAACAGCAAAATTGACCGGAGCGTTAGATAGATGTCAATTAAGTATTCGAGATTCTGTATATGTTCTCCAGGCTACTTTAGAAGCTTTAAATTTTAATACAGACGATTACGTAATAAACCAGACTTCTATACACAGAGCTCGAGAATCATACCGTTGCGAGCGTGGTGAACTAATAAAATTACAATTTAAGAAATCACTACCTAGTACCTAATTACGCAGTAGTACATTGGATGGAGATTGGGGACTATGCAATATAGTACAAGCTCTGTGTACTATTTAATTACGCTTATGCATCTTTTAAATAAATAGATTTATCAAAAAATGTTATATTATAAAATATATTGGAAATTTAATTTACTTGAAAAAACATATTATAAAAAATTACGATTTTCATAATAGTTTACGAAATATTTACGGAAATACAAAAATTGTCTAAAATTATTTAAAAATGTATTAAGCTCAAACTTTAACTTCAAGTCGGCACGGGTTAACTTTATTTGATTGACCTAAAATTGTTTGCAGTTCACTTTTATATGTATACACACCGATTTAGGGGGTGAGACCAGAAAAATATCATTATTTTTTTTTTCTTATATGGCTAAGGAACACCCTACTGTACATGTTCTGCAGAACTTTTGTGTATACAAATATACTATTTACACTATTTATGCAAATACTGGAAAATGGAAAAAATAAATATTTTCTTTTTGTAAATGACTGATATCACTATGATGTAAAACCCAAGATATATATTGGTTGTAAATGAATCAATATCAAGCATATTAAAGAATAATAAACTTAAAACCTGTCAATCAAAAATCCACCAATGAAACACATTACAACATTTGGCCATGAATACCACGAATACAGGTAGACAAATTGAGAAGTTGTTAAGTTCATGTCTTGAATAAAATTATCTTGTAATGCTCCAGGATTATCAAAACAAAAGTATGAACCTAAAAATAATAAATATTATTTTTAATATTTTTCGTACTTACTACTGCTTATTACTATGAATAAAACAAAATAAATTTTTACCAAATCCAATTAAACACATCAAGAATAATGCTACGAGTCGTTGAAAAATATGACTTGGATGTGTCCATGTTACTTTACAATCGTCTTCATGGTTATCTGTTATTTCAGACGACGATGTTGGGTGACTTTCCTCCATTTTTAAATTGTTGAAACTGAGTAACTGGAAATATTAAAATTTTTATTTTATTTATTTAATCATCAATTAATTAAATAATTAAATTTACAAATATTTATAAATTATAAAAATTTTTAAAAGCTACCCTAGTTCTTATTTAATGACTAACATGATGTCCGCATTTTGAGTTGTCTCTGTCATACAAACATCTCAAATTTGTGAAAAATTAAAATCTTGTGTAGTTAGTCTTAATATTACAATTAATTGACAACATTTCAAATTTAAAGGTAAGAATATTAATAGTGTTTTTTTTATAGCTATTTTTTATTATTTTTTTTACATACTTATAAGTTATAACTTATAGTAGGTATACTATATTATTATAAGTAACTTACTTTAAAGTTAAAATATCAACAACAAAAAAAAATACAACAAAGCTACACAGATAATTTCTTATCTAAAATTTGTATGGTCAATATTGTTAATACTGTCATATTAAAATTGGGATTAAAATTAACAATACAAAATGGATTTTGGGAAACACAAATTTCCAATGTTATACATTTGTGATATAAAAACCAACATAATATGCAGATGTAATTTCCTATTGAGATTTGAGATAAAAATTAACCTAAATATGATAGATTTTTTACAAACTAATTGTCATTTTATTAAAATAGTGATTATGCAAACAGTGGAGAGACAAGAATTTGGTGACCACAATGAAAAGGATTTTCGGAAGCTATACGATTATTACCCAATTATTATTATTTTCAAAGATCTATTAGTAAATATTTAATGTTTTTTTGTATTACCTTATTTTCTAAAAATGAATCTTAACAAAATTGTTTTAAATTCACTCGATCATAACTTACATTGTGCACTTTAATTTCACTAAGGATTAAAAGATTACCATGTATCAAAATAATTTGTATTGCATATTTTTTAAATTAGGTATAGTATTGATAGGTAAATCTTAATTTGTAATAATATAATTTAAAATAATAATATTGTTTAATGAAGTATACAAATCTTTTATTTTTTATAAAAATACATTTTTTTTTTATAAAAACCATTTTAAACAGAATAAAAATTTCTATAACATTATTTTATATCCATACATTTATTTATTCTCATTCTTATTTCGCAGTAGGAAGCACAAAATATGGGGCCTCCTCCGAACCGGTGTTAGGCTTCATCATCTGCCCCAGTTGTTGTGCCGCTGTACGTTATATGGATGCAATACACATTATAATTAAACACCCATTATATTATATATTCTGTATTTCTGTGATATATAATACAATGAACAAATATTATTAATATACCTAAATTTAATTATTATTATATTCTAATACTTACTATCGAATTTGGATAATATTTGTTTTTTTAGTAATTGATATTCTGTCAGCATATTAGTTATTGTAGTTTTTGACGGGGAATAAAAGTGGGTAGTTATAATTTAATATTATGCACTATTATTAAATTACTAAACAATTATCTATTATGAACTTTTTGCTGAAAAATATTGTTAGGTAGACAATATTTCATTGTCTTACCTATTTAAGCAGTGGTAAAAATTGACAACAAAATTGATTAATAGGTATTTAACATATTATGTTCTTACACAATGAATACCAAATCTGTTTATTATACCTAACAATTAAATGGTAACTCTGGAAATGTAAATAATTTTTTGTGGTTACCTACATTTTGATGTTTGAAAATTGAAACAGTAAGTTTATGCAACAAAAGCCTGAAGGTATCTTACCTTCCTTGATATTTAAAAAATGGAGGTACCTACTTAGGTATATAAGGTAACGACAAAATAATAGACGCTTATTTTTTATAATAGGAACAACATACTCAGTTATAACTTGCCCTTTTTTAAGCTTACCAAAATACCATCATAATAATAGGGATAAAAAACAAGAGAAACTATACTTATACGTAACATTCAATTTATTCTCAACTTACAAATATTTATTTTTTTTATTTTAGTACGGCTTGCAATATTTTAACCATTTAACTTGTTATTCTATATGGTAAATTATACACTTATTTAATTATAAATAAAGACTCAATTATAAAAACATATTAGAATAAAAACAACTGTTATGTCAAAACATTATAAAGAGCGACCTCACATACATCATGTTGATGGGCATAAGCAATAACATTAAACACAACATAAGTTAACTAACCTTTTTCGTGCAATAGTTCTTCAGACCATCCAATTGCCATAATATAATAATATAATAAATTGATTAAAATAATGTCGACGATTTTTCGGTTATTTACCGTGCGCACAGATGGATCAAATGGTGTTGTATCGAGCGAGGGTGGTGTACAGTGGAAAATAATGGATGTCCAATAATAATAATAATAATAATAATAATAATAATGTTCGTGCTACGTAACGCGACAACGGGGGAGTTTTAAACTAATAAATAAAAGGCCTTTGTTGTACCATTGTCTATCAGTGTGGATGTTTAGAACGCCATAGGGGACAAAAAGAAAATACAAGACACATGTATAATAATATTATTATTATTTATTATGCTTATGCACATTTCGTATCACAAAAGGAATTATCAGTGAAGGTCTTCCTTGATAGCGTATGGCAGTGCAGCTGCGCAGCTGTGGCATCGTCGTGAGTGTAGTGTGTACCAGTATTTTAGTGTGGTAGCAGGTGATGCTATACTGTTTGATCTGAGATAAGGCAAGACAGTGTTAATTTATTGTTATCATCTTTTTGAGTTGTAATGTTGTAGGTACTATAACAATAAACAGTATATAACTTATAAGTTATAATCATGAAGACAAGAATTCTAGTCTTCGTGCTTATAACCAGGGCTGTGAATTTAATGCACTAAAAAACTTTAAAAAATGTCAAAAAAAATGCAATATAAAATGCCAAAAATTACTGTATAAAATTCACTTAAAATGGTTTATAATTTAATTTTTATAATGATATTATAGGATATTATACATTAGTACATTACATTTTACATGCATAAAAATGTGTTCTATTAATAAAAAAAAAAATAAAAATATTAATTGAATTTGAATTTTGTATACCTAATGCTATTCAACAGAAACATTAAAAAAATTTTTTTTTAGATTTTGAGTGGAACGATGAAGGTATTGACTTTACAACGATGTGTGTTTTTTTTTATTTTTGTGTCCGTCATCACGGTTTGGGGCAGTAAAAAGGCTTCGATTTTCTTCAACAATATCTTGTTCGATGGGAAAGTGAATCTAGTTGATGCATTCGGGAGGTCAAATTTTAAAATTCCCAATAGTTTTCACAAGCGCCGGGAAAAACAACATAAATATTAATGAAAAACGGGAATTTTTACGCAAAATCGTTTTTCCCCAAAATCGATTTTGGTTTTTGGTTTAACTCTAAAACAAATGAACGTAAATAGGTATGTTACGGGCAAAGTAGACTTTGTAAACAATGTAAACATTGCCCGGACATTGGGACATTATGGTACTGCCCGATTATGACGGGCAATGTAGGCGAAATTATTCATTGCCCGGACCGTATAGAATTGCCTAGTAAAAAGCTTGGGCAATATAAACCAAAAGTTTTTATTTTATAATTATAAACCTTTCTAATCTTATCAATCTTGTTAACTACTTTATTAGTTGAATATTATTATTTATTAACTTAACTATTTATTTTTGCGATTAGCATTACATTTTTTATCACAATTACATTAAACAATACATAAATTATCAATACAATTATAATCTTTTAATTTATAATTATAATTTTTTAAATATTGCCTTTCCATTTCAATTAATTTAATTTAAATACCGCACACGGCACACATTAATTTAGCGAAGGCCAAATACTATACTAACACTATACAATATCGACTGCGCTGTACTAAATTGTATTAACAACTCATATGCTGTACAGTTCAATGATTGTAATAATAATTATTGTACAAATTCATAAACGTAAAACCGATTTATCGATAAGCCGATAATATTGTAGATGAAAATATAATTTTGAAACGACGATAATTGACGAGATAATATTGAGA